GTAGCTCCTATAATTAGCTCAGCAGTTCCACCAGATGTTTGCTAATTGCTGCTGGCTAGTCTGAAGGAGCTGAGTGGGAGGAGCTGTTGTGTGGGGCTGAAGCTCGGTAGCTTGGAAACTGCACCTCTGAGGAGGAGCTGCGTCTTAAAGGCGGGGCTAGATCCGACCAGGCGTTTTGCACTCTGTTTCCAGGATTATGTGAAGAATTAGCTTTTCACCACACAGCAATTAGCATGTAGGACATGAAACTACTTTAGGAAAACGTTAGTGCATTATGCGGAGTTAAACTACCAACAATGTGTAACTCAGAATTAGAATAGTTCTGTCAAAAACCACATTTCACTTTTCTTTGACTTCTTAGTTCCGCTTTCTGCCACATAAAACCTCAGAAAGCATTGAGGTTTGGTGACACAATGAGGAGGTAAAATAGTGAAGGTTAAACTGACCTCCACATGCGTCTCTGCTGTCCTGTCTCAGGATGTCCTCTCTGTCCTCCAGGACCTGCATCAGCGCCGCCTGAAGTTTGCTGGGCAGAATGCAATCTTCATCTCCGAGCTGCAGCACAGAGCAGGCAGACACTCACATCCAGTCTGCATCAGCCTCCATGGTGTTACTTTGAGCTTTAACACATTTACAGAGGCACTAACAAAAACATGCTTTTATTGGGGCCTGCCACAGCAAAGCATAGGAGAGCAATGCCTCTCTGCAATGCATGCACCTATTACTCTACACCTCAAAATAACTGCCGCTTCCTTTTCTCGGTTAATGCAGCTCATACTGCTGCATGCACCCCCACATGTGGCTGGATCTCGGCATGTGGGCTATTACTTCTGTTGGCATTTCGAGTAACATGGTGACGTAAGTAGCGATAAACGAGCCAAATTCAAATCAAAACAAATTCTGACACAGTTTTGTGGTGTCGGTCGCATTCGAAAAGAATTCAACCTGTGCTGTTCAGACTGTCGTGAAAAGATCAGATACAGGTCGTATTACGTCAAAAAAATCGGAATTGGGTCACTTCAGGTTGCAGTGTGAATGCAGTCTTAGACTCAAAGCTGAGATAGAATTTTTTCTGCCCCTCTGTGTCTCACTCACACATGGCAATTTTCAGACAGTATCAATTACCATAGCAACAGAACACTGAGGAGGACAGAGATGTAGAAAATTACAGAGATGGCAAACACTCAGTTCCTACAGAGGAGGGCAGAGCTTCCAGTTAGAACTACAGAGAGGCCATCTTGGCAGAATACTTACTACAGAAAAGTATATATTTTATAATATAATTACCTTCAATGACAAAAAAAAATTATTTTCTGCCAAATTCGCCAACTGCACAATTAGTAGTAAATAGTGTAAGATAAGAGCAAAAGAGCAGAAAAAATCTTACATTTTTTTAACAATAATATTTGTTGTTAATCTGTTGCTAAGAGATGAGCTCATTTTCTGGTAATCAAGAGCCACAAAGTAAACATGTGAACATGTGATTTCTCCTTTTGCAAAAGTAAAAATCAGAAGGCAGTGCATTAGCATTAGCACAAACAGTGCTAATGTAGCTACTGCCCACATTAGCAGTTGCCTTTTCCCTAAAATAAGCTTTTTAGCTATTTTGTATTTATTAGCCATGTTTAGCACACTGAATGGAGGAAGTCAATGAAAGTCAACATGCTAGTTATACCCCATATGCCACTGGCAACATTTAGGCTAACATTAGCATTTTGGAAAATTTTAGCTTATACACAAATTTTAACATACTGAATGGAGTGAGTCCATACTACTCAACATACTTTTGACTCTCCACACGGCATTGAGTACATTGTAGCTTACTGTAGCATTGATGCTAATTTTTAGTATCAGAACGCTGGGTTCCAACCGTCGGGCACACTTTGAGGCCCCGTTTAAATTTCTTCAGAAAGTTTCTAGTTTTATCTTTTTGTTTTTCATTCTACCTCATATTAAACTCATGGGCTCATTTTGTGCTTTTTTTTAATACTGTTTTTTTAATTATTAAAGATTCAAATATTTTACAAACTATGACCTTATATCACATCTATGGGACAATCTGACAGAAATTTTAAACCATCAATTCATACTTGCTAATGTGTTGGCCCACCTATTAACGTTCCGTAATTTGCATGTGGGAAAGATTTTATATTATTTTTTAAATAGGGCATCAAAACTATTGTCCTAAATCTGGTCCTGCTTTGGAGAGCACAGCTTGAATTGGAGCTGCACCAATTTCAGTTTTCTGGCTGATCTTTAAAAAACCTGATCTGCCGAGTTTGGCCGATAATTACTTTTTTGAGTGAAATGTTGCTAAATATAGAAGGAAAGTTGGTGAGTTGGCAGCAGTGGGGTGACTCTCGTTGGACATGACATGGTGGGCAGGGCTCACACTCTAGCCTCTCACTGTAAAGCAGAAGAGGACAGAGGCTGATGTTTAGACCTTTACTGAGGTAGAGAAGATCAGTTTCACATGCAAGTATTGGCCGATATCCCTCAATTAAAGAAATCTGGTTCGATAAATCGGTTCACCCTTAACTTGAATACTACATTCACCACAATGTGCGTGTGATTCTGGATGAATAATAATGGATGATTTGAAAATTGTTTTAAGTTCCAGTTTTAGATTTTAAAGTGTGTTTTCCAGAAAAACAGCAAAAGCACATCAGAACATTTACACAGAGTTACAGTCTTTTTCTCTAAGATTTTTTTAATGTAACAGGATTCAGAACAAACTAAAGTGTGAATGATATGTGGGAGATTGATTATGAAAATATTAGTGTGGTTTTGCTCTGGGCTCTTGTCCTGCATGCTTTTGTCACTTCCTTTGTCCCTAAAGCACTCCACCCAGCAGGCGACAAGTGAAGGCAAAGCCGCCTCTCCCACAGGAGCCACGCCCTCCTGCTCTATTATCCCTGAGTGTACACACCTGTATGACAAACCTGTCAGCACACAGATCCACAATGAGAACCTGGGAAGACAACAGGAAGAAGGAACAACATTTACTTTACAGCTGAATCAATGGAGTTTAGATGAGTCAGAGCAACAGTGTGATTTTCTCATGTTGAAGCATAAAGAGGAAGCAGAGAGGAGATGAGGAGACCTCCAGCTGCTTTACCTCCTCGATGGGCAGCTCCAGCACCTCTGGCAAACACGGAGCCAGCACACCAATGAGGAACGGTGTGGGAGAGCAGCTGATGTCCAGCATGCTGGCTGGTAACACTGGGACAAATGTGTGCTGCCAGGTGAAGGGGTAGAGCAGCGCCAGCACGGCGTGGCCACACCTGGACAGCACACTGAGAGCAAAACGGTTTACAACATGAGATACATCTGGACGGCTGACTCACTGACTCAGGAGAATGAAACTGTGAAAAAAACTTCCTATATAAGCTCAACACATTTTGGGACCCAAATGATGTAGTAGTGATATGTTAGCTGGGATACCAGTAACTAATCTAGAAGTCATGATGCTGTGGCTGCTGGGATGCTTTGGTTCAATTTACTCCTAAAGACTTGAAGCTTAAAGAATATTGATGAATTTAATCAAAAATCCATCAAATGTCCTAAATCCCAGCAAACAGATGTTTAATATCACAACAAGCTGCTCTCTGTTCTGAACCAGCAGCTTTGGAAAAAAAACAGAGTTAAAACAATTTTTACGTCAAGATTTATTATCACCACATGATAAAATACCAACGCTGCTAAAGAGCTGAGTCAGAACTGGAGTTTATGGGTTCAGAGGGAAATGAAAAGAATTCCCAAAGCTATGCAGGTTGCTAACTGTCAGCATGATGATGTTACTTACCTGAGTTTATCAGCAACAAAGATGACTCTCCTCTCCAGCAGGAGGGAAGCGAACACCTGCAGGAGTTTCCCCACACTGAGACACTGCAGCAGACTGTCAAAGTCCACATGCTCCAGCCTGGAGTCCACGGGTCGGCACAGAGTCAGAACCTGCAGCAGAACAAACCACTAAGCTTCGAGTTGCAGCCGACACGTCAGAGTGCTGAACAAGTTACAGCACTGCCTTTAGTCATTTTGTTCCTGGCAGTGACGGAGCAGGCTACAGCTGACTGTTAACATGTCAACAACAACAACTCCAAACGGTCTGAGGAGGGGGCGTAGCTACGAGCCACACGGCTGCTGATCAGGACTTTCTGTTTCTGTGCCGGGGGTTACCTCATTCCCAGAGCCAGGCAGGAAGCTCTTGACAGTGACGGTGCGTCCGGGGGCCGGGAACGGGGCCTCCATCACGCTGCGCATGAACGTATAAACCAGTGGCGGAGAAATCTCTCTGCGCCGCTCCACCTCCTCCAGGATCTGGACAGACACACAGACACAACGCTCCCTGTGAGTCCAGGAGGAACACACCTCATCAAACAACCCGCTGTCCTTCAAACCCAACTACAGGACAGGTCAGAGGTCAAACTCATTTCATAGCCACTATCCTCTTCACTTCTTCTGCTGAAGCTTCTGAAGCAGAGACGTGAGCAGATTTACGGCACCTTGTAAAAGTATTTCCCCCTGCTGGAGACTTTTCCACTTTCTGTCACATTCCAGCCACAAACATCCATGTATGCAGACTAAAACCTTTTGACCATTCCTCTTTCTAAGTACTTTGCCTGGTTCATTTGGACTGTGTGGAAGTGAACATCAACATTAATCTGATAAAAATGATTTCTTATTTAAATATTTTTTATAGAATATTAAAAATACACCAAAAGATGCAAAGAAACAAATAATTCAATTTTAATGCAATAGCAGCAATTCTTCAGTTTATGATTGATCATTTGTAGTAAATGAAGCAATTAAAATATTTCTAACATGTGAGAAGCCTTAGTGCTGGACTGAACATCAGTACAATGCAGAGCTGATTATTCTGTGGATTATTAATAGTAGCAGAAGTTGCTCTGGAGGAGATTTTTTTAGCAGAATTTGAACAAAGTGAAGCTAAATCTGTCACCTGAAGAGTTCAGGGTAGAACATTTTACAGACAAAGGTTTTATGTTGTATTCAAAATGTATAGTTTTTTTTTTATTATAAAGTTTTGGTTTAATTACTGCTCTGAGACCTTTTGAGTCTGTTTACTTAAATGATCAATTAATTGATTACTAAATTAGGTGATGATTTTTTTTTTTTTAATAATCGATTAATCCCGTTAATCGGTTCAGTCCTAGTTAACATCAGTTTTCAATTGTTGCTGCACATTCTAAAGACCTAAACTTTGACTGGGCCATTCTGACATACAACAATCCACGCATCTAATTTAATCTGTAGTTCTGACTAGATGTTTAAGGTTCTTCTGCTGACAAAATACACTGAAGTATTTGGTTGTGTTGTGACAAAATGCAGAAAACAGGATTTAAACTGCATGGACGCACTCAGTGAGTGACTTTACCTTAGCAAACAGGTTGAAACAGCCCAACTTGCTGACAATGCAGTGCACCTCAGGAAGCCGCTTCCCCTTTCCACTGGGCTTGAAAACAGAAAGTTGCACAAGTCAGACAGCAGAGCACAGCAGACATGTTTCACACACAAGACACAAACCTGCCAGTTTCTGCTTCCCTTTATACCAAACTTTACAAACCAAACTACAGCTTTACAGCCAACAGCAGATTTAAACTCTGCATATCGATAACATCGCTCCACCTGAGATAAAACTCTGATTAATTTGATAAATAATAACAGATGGGTTTGAGACGCCGCACTAAACAAGACAACACCAAGCAGAGAAGGAAGCTGCGACATTCTTTCTGCTGTGCGTCACGGGTTCAGAGGTAGCTGGAGTGTGATTCCTCAGAGATAGTGAATAATGACGCGGTGAACTGCCAGGTCACGCACAGTCAAATGAGCCAATAACTCCCATCCAGATGTCAGCTCACGTCCTCACTCACCAGGATCTTACGGCAGTAACAAAACCAGCGACTCCCGTCTTCTCCGGTGAGGACAAAAGAGAACGTCTCACTGGAAATGAAACCGGAAAAATCAGGAA